AGTACAGTTAGCTGCTTTCCGCAATTCAGGCGGTAGACGGGCTTCCATTCCGTAAATCCCTGAGGACTTCTTACATGATATAATTGATCACTGTTGCTACTAAACTGGATTCTAATCAATGATTCTACTCAAGGCGGCCTGTTTGAATCACTGGGCTACTGAAATTGTTTTCCATCAAAATGCCTAATTTCATTTGCGTTTACCCCTGTTTTAGTTGACCAGTTATATCAATGTCCTATATATGGACTTGCGCACTGATTTAATCTGCCTCCAAGTGAATGCTGCAAAATTCTCCAGAGAAATCACGATATCTTTCAGACCACTGCTTTACGGGTAAATCCTGTATGAAGAAAAAACTATTTTTAGACTAAATACGCTTAAAATGTTGTTCTTTATGTTTGCATATTGTATGAAATAAAGCTTTATTTTCATTATTATGCATTCATGAATACGGCAAATAACGTCTAATCCCTTGTTTTTTTTATGAACTCCATTCTCAGCAGCTAAAAGATGTATTCAAATGGAGCTAAGAATAGGCCCTGCCTGTCCTTCGTTTATCGCTGCAACGAGGTTTAACTCAAAATGTAACCAGCTTCACAAAAGCGACAATTCACTCTCGTTTCCCGAACATGAATTTAGAGTGCTCATAGGGAGTCAGCGTAGTTCTTCAGTGATTACTCATCTTGCTCCATTCCTCAGGTGCTTGGTTATTTCATTAATGTTATCTCCAAGAGGCCAAAGTTTTAGGACGAGGGCTTCCTTGGATCCATCTACAGATTTACCTGACGTGACTAGTGGTCTAACTGTGATGTGAATACTTCTTCATTAGTTAAGCCCTCTAAATATCTAGATAAAAGTTTTCGCATATCTATGGAACAATTACTCTGAAGTCTTGCTAACGAAAAGTTATTTTAACATTCATATCTTTTTGCACATAGTAATAACAATGTGGCTCACAAGTGGAATTCGAATGGGAGACGATGAAAGAGGCGTCCAAAGATGAAACGGGGGGGGATAGTGTAAGCGAGAGGGGAGAGCTCATGGGCAGTCGTGAAGTCAACTAATGGGGACTGTGAAAAACAATGCAAAATCGAGATGTGCTTTAAATTATGACTGTGTGACATATCCCTTCATCAAAGTTGTGGCATTTTTGTGCTACTAATATTGGTGCGCTTCATTAAATTGCCTAAGACATGCGTGGTTGATTTCATGAAAACTAGATGGCAAACGTTTAATCTGGAACATAGTGTCTACATGAAACTATTAAATTGCTCCCACATCATTGTTAAACGACATTTTTAGATGAAAGTGCAGCAGATGTAAATTTCTTTCCACTTAAAAAGTGTACAAAAAATAGAACTTGTCATAAAACCACCACAACAAAGGACTACGAGTCTACCGCTGTCGAAGACCTGTGTTCTACTCGGAACCCAAGAGGATAGTTATATAATAATTGTTAACTTTAGTAACTAAATTATGCTTCTACTCAATCGTCGAACCTTAAATTTTTGGGAATTTTGTGACATAAAACGGTAATTTCAATAAAATGGCTACTGTGGAATCGACAAGAAATAGTGTCCCCGATGTGACAGGCATTTTGACACGAGGATATGTCTCTAAATAAAATGCACTGTTGACTATTTGTGAGGTAGAATCATAGCTAATAGTCTAGACTTGGGACTGTTTTTCTGTGTAGGAACTGCATTGATAGGTTTTTTGACTGACGTTAATGAGCTTTAATCTGCTGCTGTGTGCTGAAGACATATCACAGTGATTGCCTTCTTCTGATTAGTTAATGTGCAGTGTGCAGTTGTTTGATTATACTTTTCCTTGCATATAGCTAGTGAGTTTGTACAGCCTCACTCATGAGTCAAAGGATACATCCATGACTGGATATATACTTACATATAATTCTTTACAAGCAAATTTAGATTAATGTGTATTTGATATAATAAAGACGCCTGTATCACTTAACAGCGTTTGGGCCAGTAGTATTCCAAGAACTCACAGGTTTAGTGGTTCTGATAATCATGAACAAATCGGGCATCTGGCAAAAATTGAAAACATACTTCTGATGAGTGACAACGCGGTCACAGCATTCGACATAGTCCTTCGCGAGCGTTTACAGTGGGACAATTAACCCCCCTATCTGTGTTATACCAAAGCCAATTACCTCGAAATGCGAGGACTTTTGTCTGAAGCAAATTGGCCAAATAATTGGACAAAGCTTACAGTAGAAGAATACTGGGGAGTGGTAAAGGAAATCACTCACCAGGCGGTCTCAGACACTGTTCCTTTAGTCACACCAAAAGCTAGAAAGCAACGTTCATGGCTAAAAAGGGAGACACAACGCCTTCTGCAGGCGAAGCGAAAAGCCTGGTTTGCGTGGCGAGTATCAAAGAGTCAACCCAAACATGAAGTGTACCTTGAACTCAGGAATTGATGTAACATACTAGTCCGGAGTGATAGAAGGACATTTCAGAGAAACCTCGCCAATAAGCTTCTCGTGAACCCCAAAAGCCTATGTAGGTTTATGTCTGAAAGAAAACCGACCAACTAGGGAGCTTACAATCTAGTGGGTTCTGATGGGAAATCTCTTACTAGTCAGAGACATTCAGTCTAGCCTTTCACAGGCAACTGAACAGTAATGAGGATTTTACCCCCACAAAACATCAAGATCACAATGCAAGACCGACGTGCGAAAACCTGCTGGGTACATTTCAAATTACCCCGGCTATGGTACTCATAAAATTGGGAAAGTTGGCTTCGGGAAAGTCTGCAGGTTGCGACGACATAAGACCATCCGTCCTGAAGCAGTGTTCAGAAAGTCTCTGCCAACCCCTAAGTGATCTGTTTCAACACTCTTTTGATGTAGGGAAACTTCCATGTGAATGGAAACGAGCCATCCTATCCCCTATCTTCAAGGGTGGTGACCGGTAGAATGCGACCAGTTACAGACCAGTTGCGCTACTTCCAGTGATATCGAAGATATTGGAAAGTCTCATTGACGACCACATGAGAAAATACTTCGACGGGACTAACCGACTCCATGAAGCGCAGCACGGCTTTAGGAGGGGAAGATCCTGTGTGACGAATCTTCTTCTAGCTTGGAACGATTGGACACTATCCTGGGATGTAAAGGTACCAGTCCATGTGATCTTTCTCGACTTTGCGAAAGCATTCGACACAGTTCACCATGGTCTGCTCCTTCACAAAATAAGCAAGGCGAGTGTTTCTGGAGTACTTCTCGCATGGGTGACAGATTACTTAGGCGATAGAGAATTCTGCACCAAAGTTAACCGCATCCGATCATCCTGGCACACCTCGGCATCAGGGGTTCTTCAGGGTTCTATCTTAGGGCCGTTGATGTTTTTGATTTTTATCAACGACCTGTCCTGTCATCTGAACTGCTCTGCGCTTCTTTACGCTGACGACGTAAAGATTTGGAGAGCAATAAACGCATCGGAAGACTCCGACAGATTGCAGGCTGACCTGCAAACTCTGGGATACTGGGCTCTGGCTAACGGAATGCCTTTCAACCTAAAGAAGTGCAAAGTAGTTTAACTTCATTCCAGCAGGTCACAGAGTGTAAATTACACTCTTGGTGGCCAGAACTTGAGTTGTGTGCCATCAGAACGCGACATAGGTCTTATTTTAACAGAAAAGCTAGACACCAGTGTAAATTACACGAGGGACGTCGCCAAAGCTTACGCCACTTTACACTTTATGCATAGGCAGCTGGGAGCTCTTACTCCCGAACTATTCTTAAGGTTGTATATAACATACGCGAGGCCACTCCTTGAGGTGCATAATATCACTGCTCCTCCTCTACTTAAAAGGGAAAGTGCCCAGAGACGAGCGACAAAATGGGTGATCGGCCTCCGCGACAAAACATATCATGAAAGACTGAAGAAACTAAGTCTTTTCACACTTAGTTACCGTAGTCACAGGGGAGACCTCACCACCGTCTATAAGATCTTAAATGACCAGGCCCACCCTAATGAGAGCATCCTGCCACTAAGTGATTATAGGCTTCCACGAGGTAACCCGCTGAGGATAGCACACCAGAGACCAAAGACTCGAGTGCGTTCACATTTCTTTTCGCTTCGAGTTTGCCGTCTCTGGAACGCTTTAGCAGCGGTCGTGACTACAGCGCCATCTGTGGAGACTTTTTAGCGGAAGCTGGACAATCATGCAGAAATGCATGGTTTGTGTCTCAATGGCTTATCCTCTTGAAATTTGAAACCACACTTTCAATGGATAAGCATACAAGCTGAATCCCCACGACCCGTCCTGTCTTCTCTCACTGTACCGACTACTCTATCTTTTCTTTGGTCACCTTTATTATTTCACTTATCTCAACCTATATTATTATTTTTATTTATTTATTTATTATAGCTTGATTCCACACCGTATTTTTGGTACAAGTATGGAATTTTCAGCATGTGATATTGGTAGCCCAATTTTGCAGGCCGACCAGAGATATCGGGTGTGCGCCGGCAGGGGATCGAACCCCGGACCATATGCATGGTCGGCGAGAGTCCTTACCACCGTGCCACCGACGCACACCAACGTATTATCTACACCACAACCTATTATTATGATTACTATTCTACTTTTATAACTACACCGAATGACCAACGGGTGTTAGGTCAAACTCCATTCACGGCAGCAACTGAGTCCTAACATACAGCACACTACAAACCACATCTTGACCAATCCTCGCATCACTCCCCTTGTAGTCTACCGGAGCTAAAGCAGTCGAGTGGCGGGATTTACTACGCATAAGTTTACCGAAGATCTGAAACCTCTACCTTACAATCAAGAAGCGAGCTCAAAGAAATCACTGGTTTATACTAGCTCGTAATCAGGATATTGGATATTGGATGAGCAGATACTGTATGCTTTTGGTCCCTTTCGATCACAACTGTAGTCCTTAATAAACGAACTACTACTTTCTAGCAATGTTAATGGAACGAGTTTTGAAATTTCTGTGCGCGCTAACATATTTTTTTCTTCGCAGTGTGATTGGCCTTGATTCAACCGCGTGCTTTGTTTCGAGCAGTAATTCCTTTTATGAACTGTATTTTTGGTAGGTGGTTAGTCGTTGTTTGTTTGCACGCTGTTGCTTTACTTTTTCCTTGTGAACATAAGCATTCGACTTTTATAGCTTGTTTAGAATCAGCACTAGTTTAGGTACCTGGACCAGAAGTCTCTATAGAGAGCTTTCTAATTAAAGCTGTTGTATGGATGTTTGAGGATATTATCGATGACAGAGGATGAATTGGTTTTTTTATTGTGAGTTTTGGCTTTCGCATATAAATTTTAGGCTGTTTGCAAAAAGTAAAGACCATATCTTTACAAAATATCCTCACAAAGGGGAGACTGCAGTCACAAATATTTTACTCCGAATACTTCTCTTCACTTTGTGGCACAAAAAGTCTGGTGTTTGGCTTACATTGTGATTGAAGCTTATTTAAATTTATTTAGTTAACGACACCATGTTTTCAAACTTCGGAAATAATGAGTGGATTCGCTTTATGTAAGCTTCAGGCATATTGCATACAAATGATTTTAAGTGCCCCCATTATATATTAATTGTCAGAAGTGTTATTGTAGTATTGTCAGTCATGATGATTTCAGTGCAGTCACAAGGACGCTACGATATGATATCACTTCAGGACAGTTGTCTTTTCAATGCTTTATTTGACTTACAGCAGTAAGTGTTTTTAATTAGAAATGATCAGAGTTTGAGTTGTGCTTATTTAAATTTTTTCAGAGCCTTTTGTCCAGAAGGGTTAAAAAATAATCAGGAGATTAATGAATGCGTTGTCAGGTTATGTAGTCGTCTCGATTACCGAGTGTTACATCAGTTTATTCTTTAATGAAAGCGAAATCGATTCTGTATGTGAATATTATGCTGCAATATTTATGTATGTCAATTTTTTGGCTAATAATTCGTTTAAACTGACTCAACAGTTAATAGAAAATGTAGAGGTTTAACATTCAGGGGCATAATAATTGGGATGATTATATTAATAAGAATTCAGGTCATTCAAGCATAGGGAGATTGATTCAGGCATCTTCTGAGATGTTGACTCGCTACTGACCTTACTAGCTTTTATGGAATATCACGTCTACATTCCTGTTGTCGGTCTTGAGAGGTAGTTAAACAGCCATTCTTTTGAGAAATCGTTCCACTTACCATTGACTTTTTACAACTTATTTCCTTAGTGAGTTCAGATACTATCTGCTATTGCCTACTGCTGATGCCCCTTTCACCTCCTTTACTTTGTCCACCGACCACTTTTCACAAGAGTCGCGAAGGCTTTTAGTGATCTTGCGTTTGAGCAACCTTTCTTCCTCATCATTTTCAGAACTTACAAGAATCACTCTTTTGAGTCTATCAGTTCAGGTGAGTCAGACGAAATCCGCTGGCATTTACCAGCCTGTGGTTCAGGTTACCCGAAGCTCTTATTATTATTTATACAGTAGAGTAAATATGATCCCTGGCTTTCTCAGGATGGGTATTGCTGTTAATCCTAGTTGTACGTTTAATTATTACTTCCCTTAATAAAACCTTTGTGCTGTAGTCAGCTTGGAGGCGTTGCGATTTGATAGCTGACTGTTTTCTATGTCCGTCCAGTTGTAGGCACGCACGAACTAGTGCGTGATTCTAGTCTGTGCGGGTTTTCCAGATGGAGTGACAACCCTCTACATCGATAGCTTATAGTTACGTGATCCGTTTGTGTCCACCGTTGGTTTGATGTTGGACGTCGCCAGGTGTGGAAATATCTTTCCTTATGTGTGGAATTAATGTTGGCCAGGAAGGTATGACCATCTGGTTATAAATGTAAAAGACGGCCACCTTTGCTGGCTTGTGATTGCATTGATGCTACCAATATACTTTCCTGACCGGCACAGTTACGCTTCATGAGCATTAAGATCACCTACTAAAATATCTGAGCGTTTTGCCAGCAGCAGCAAACTAGACAGCTTCTGATAAAATTCACTACCTACTTCGAATTGCTGTCATTCAAGGTTTAAGCGGATATCACGAAAATATATCGAAGAGTATCACAATATCTCCTTCTTGTGATGAACCTGTTCAGTTGGACAGCACACATGACTTAACATTATAATACTGTCAAGTAGCAATTTTTCTGTCCTAGCGCTCAATGCTACTCTGACACCAGTAATTCTACACAAACTAGCCTAGAAATCTCCTAACATCCGTAAGGTGAACTTTGTAGAGTCATCGTATTGGGCAGGTGTGGTGGATAATTAATAAGTGAATAATTACACTTAGGTCTCGCCTGAGTGTCTCCGAAACACAACATACATCCGTAGTTCGGGACGCCAGAGTATTGGCTGGTGAGACCTGTTATCCAATTTAGCATAAGGTCCTGTCATTGGGTGCTTCAGTATTAGCTCAGTAGAATGGATTTAAGAGGCAAACATTAGCATTTTCCAGCTGAGGTCTGTATAAATATTCATAGAGGTAAAGAAAGTGGTGAATCTACTTGTGGAATAGTATTAACAGTGAGAGGAAAACAAGATTAAGGTGGGTGATGATTAAGAAAATGTTGATTGCTTATAGGGTGTATGTGGGCAGTTATCACTTTCCAGCTGTGCAGACCGTAAAATTTTGATTACTGGTGATTAGATGTACATGCTCACTAGTGTTGTTAATATTTCAGATGTCTTTCTGTCTGCATGAAGAAGATATATCATTATATGCAAGTTCTACGGATCTTTCAAAGTACTTGGTGAATCATGGAGTTCCTGAGTCAGTATCAAAAATCTTCACTGACAACATAGTTGATGGTCTCTCATTTTGTCTTCTTGATGAGAAAGATTTAACTGATATGGGTGTTACGCAGATTGGATTACGCAAGCGTATATTATTTCTATCATCTGTTTGGCGACATAAAGTTAAAATTAAAGGTTGTGAGAAGCAACTTTTACGTTTTATTGACGGTGAAAATTCTACAGTTGAGACGTTGAATAGTAAGATTTCTAATCATTCGGATGTCCATAAATTTACCGGTGATGACAATTCGAATTACACCATTAACAATTCGTTTTTGAATGATGACAACTGTGAAGTAGTTGAAGAAAATTCAAAGTCATGGAGGCTTTTTATTAGTGGTTTGTATTTTTTATTTTCCACATGTGTCACATCCTTTGTTATGGTTTTGGCTCACGAACGCTTACCTGATATGTCAAAATATCCTCCTCTACCAGATCTCTTTTTAGATAATCTTCCTCATATTAGTTGGGGATTTGCTGCCGCGGAATGGGTTGGTGTAATTTTGTCTATTATTTGGTTAACTATCTTAATTTTCCACAAATATCGACTGATACTTTTACGTCGTTTCTTCGTACTTATGGGTACAGTTCTTTTGTTGAGATCAGTGACTATGATTATTACTTCACTCAGTGTTCCTGGTAAACACTTAGCTGATTATTGCAGTCCATATGTTGTGCAAAATCAAAGTGAGCGTCTTAAACGTGTATTACATATATGGCTAGGAATGGGTATGTCCATCAGTGGAATTCAAACATGTGGTGATTATATGTTCAGTGGTCATACTACCTGTCTTACTCTTCTCAATTTTTTTATCACTGAATATTCACCACGAAAGCTTCAAGTGTTACATACCTTCTCTTGGGTTTTAAATCTTTTTGGTGTATTCTTTATACTTGCCTGTCATGAACATTATTCTATTGATGTATTTATTGCCATATATGTATCATCTAGGTTATTTTTATATTATCACTGTTTAGCTAATAGTAATATTCTTCATCAACCGGGTATGGAACGTGCGATGACTTGGTTCCCTTTGTTCTCTTTCATGGAATATGATGTTAAATCTGTAGTACCTAATGTTTTTGAAATTCCATTTCGTTATACTAGAAGTTGTGATAAAACAAATGGTGATATTAGTAGTGATAAAAATGGAGTGAATTCATTCGATAATAAAACATTAAATAACAAATATGAAGAAACATCTCATTGTATATTTCATAAAGATACAGAGTCTTCTTCAACACCTGTATTTCGAAATAATTCAAGAGTTCGACAAAAGAAAAGGGAACACTGTTAGATAAAATGTATTTGTCATCATTACCTGTGAAAACCAATTTTTTTTAGAGTCCTTCTGTTATAGGATATTTTTTCAGTTCATTTTTCATAAAAAAAGATTTTTAAGTTATTTTACGATTAACTTATTTCTTGTCTACCTGACGTCTTTTGATTTATCAAATTCAAAAAAATTGATCCTCCATTGTTATACTGAAGGACTCTGTCCTCACTTTTTAAAAAAAAAGTGCATTGTGTTTCCTCATTACAATCAAAGTCTTTCATTTTATTTATTTTCATTACAATGCTTGAAATAAAGCACTGACAGTAAAAAAGCCTTTATATTATTAATTTGGTGGTGTTTTAAAATTTATGCTAACAAATATTTTATCCTTGTTTAGCTGTTTTGGATCGCTTTTTAAGAATTTTAAGGTATACAGTGCATCAGGAAAGAAAAATTACACCACTAAATCAGTTCCTATAGCTGACCTTAACCAGGTCGAAAACGTAAGGCTTTCTTCAACAAACACTCTTTGTCTGAGAAGTGAAAATTCAAAGAATATTTTTGATATGTTTCGATCGTAGCGGTCCAGGTACATCCACTAGTTATCTTCTTACACCCCCCACCACCAACATTTTACCGCTCTTCATTAATTTATCTTTTATCATTCATATACTTTAAGGCTTCTTAGTTTTACTTTTTTAGTAAATTCACTCTCCAATAATGATAATAACAACGTAGTTACTTCGTATATGGATTTCATGCAGTGTTTATTGTAGAACACATTAAGGGTTCAAAGATCAAATTAAATAGATTTGTGCTCAAATCAGTCATTTGAAGTATATCTCTTGTACTGTTTCTGAGTAAAAAGCCTAAGTGAAGTACTTTTTTTGCGGTATCTCACGTTAGTGTAGCTGTTTGTCTGTAAACTACGTTTTGATGAAGTTAGTTATTCCATTATGGGTAAAATCTATTTTGATAATCATATCAAGGTGATTATGAGCAATAAATTGTGCGCGGAAAGTCATCAGTATATATTATTGTATAACACTGAGACTTTATCAAAATAAATTTTACCCATAATGGAATTATACTCTACCACAGTGCACAAATTCTATTCTTATATCGAAGTGAGTTATTCTCAGATTATCCCTGTTTTAGACTTGCTTTTGGCTTGAATTGCTCATATTTATGTCACTGACTTTAATACGAATTTGTATTGCATAAATATAAACGGAACCTTATTCAACAGCTGTACGACAAGGGCACATGTTAAGTGATCCACAACGGAAAACTCAGCGAGGCGTTTGCTGTAAACACAGGAGTCAGACAAGGGCGCTTATTATCACCAATGATATTCCTAATTGTGGTGGACTGGATTATGCGTCAGACAGTGGGAAACGAGAAGACAGGGATATCCTGGACCGACATGAAGAACCTAGAAGACCTGGATTTCGAGGATGATTTATGTTTGATGTCACACAAAATCGAAGACTTACAAGCAAAAACCGACAAACTGGTCGAAGAAGCAGCAAAGACAGGACTGCAGGTGAACATAGACAAGACGGAGGTTATGAAAATAACCAACCAACCAACAACAACAACAGCAGCAACATCCACCGCCAATCACCATCAGCGGGAGGGATTTGAAAGAGGTTACTTCTTTCACTTATCTAGGGAGCATTGTCTCAACTACAGGAGGAACGGACGAGGATGTCAAATCGAGAATCGGGAAGGCGAGAAACACATTCATCAACCTGAAACCAATCTGGAAATCGTCGTCACTCAACTCAGCATCAACAACAAAATTCGGATTTTCAATACAAACGACGTCAAGTCAGTCAGTTCTTCTATACGGATCAGAAACTTGGCGGGTCACAAAGAATATTTCCAACAGCCTGTTGCAGACCTTTATCAACAGCTGTCTTCGTTCTATACTGAAGATCAGATGACCGGAAAGAATCACCAACAAGAAACTATGGGAACAAACAAAACAAGAACCAATCGCTCAACAAATATGGAGGAGAAATTTGAGATGGATTGGACACTCACTCGCTGAGGAGGCCGCTGGGTGACATCGCGTGTCAAGCCGTAGCTCGAGTGGAACCCGAAAGGGAAGCGGCGAGTGGGACGTCCAAGAGTGATATGGAGGAGGTCGTGTGAAAAGGAACTGAAACAGTATGGATTAACATGGACGCAGGTGAAAAGTACAGCAGAAGACAGAAGTAAGTGGAGACGTGTAGTTGAAGCCCTATGTTTCACTAGGAACCCAAGGGAACAATAATAATAATAAATATAAACGGAAAGCATTAAAAACGTATATATGTCTGTATATTGTGTAGTGGTCTATGGATTTTCTAATTATCTAAGTGACAAAGTTGTGTGTACAAAACATATCGATCAAAAGCGCCTGTTTTTATAGATCCCAGATTTTTTGCTTAAAAGTTCCAGAAAGAAGTCAAGATCCAGTTGAAAAGATTGCCTTTTTATGTAGTAAGTAGTATTAGGGAATCAGTTTAATTGTGTACAACAAGATAGTGAGAACAGAAACAGGTAGAATACTTCTAATGATCAGTGTCATCGGTCTTTAGTTTTAGTTTTACAGGTGTAAAAGGTTATGACTACTTGGTTTGAAGTGCCAGTCTGTTGATATTTGTGTGGTCGTATATAAATTCCCATGTAGTCTGTCAATACTATATGGGATTTAGTAGCTTCATGTGTCTTACAGTAACCATAGTGAGCAAACACGCCTCAACAAAGGCATTAAAGTAATTTAAATATCCCTATATTTTAGTGAGAACAAGATATTTTTGAGGGAATAATTGTTTTCGATAAATACTTTACGCTCTGCAGTTATAAATCGATGAGTATTAGAGTACAAACTGCCAGTAAAACCCAACAGAAACTATATCAGACCCTCCGTTGGGGTACATGTATAAGACGGAATGGTAGTCGGTTAGTTAATAATGTCAGCCGAATGTATATAAAATATACAGTCATTCAGAAAATAAGGTAAAATGTGAATAGACAACTGAGTGACATTCTAATGTATTTACAGTGAACAGAATATAAGTTTCATTGGAGGGTGGTAAGTTATATTCATTAGTGTGAGAGAATTATGAATACTACAAAATACATACAAACAAATGAGGCACACTGAATGTAACTTCAAGGGCTGACAGATAACATATGTATTGATAAAATTGCGAACTGCAATCAAATACTAGAGGTATGATCAGCTTAATGTAAATCACAAAGGTTGACAAATAGTGATGATAATAGTGGCGGGAAGTAGACTAGGTGTAAAGGTGTAAATATGAGATGGTTATTTCCCTGATGACCCTATTGTAAACCAGGGTAAATAAAGAGGATGAATCAATGGTTAAAGACTTGTTAATATGGCTTAAAATAATTCCTCATTGCAGGCATATGTTCACCAGTCTTGATCTAATTAATTTCTTATATATTTTCACCAATTGTAGTCCAATTAAATTTGAGTGTTGGTCGGTAGGGATTTGATTGATTTCAGGATTTCATCATGAACTGACATCGGTCAGAGGACTATTGGAAAACCTGGGAGTACTAGATAGCTGTTTCGTCCTAGTTTGGAACTCTTCACAATACCCACCTACTGAAGTGCAAACCTAGGTTGGTGGCCTGCTTGAATCACTGGGCTACCTGAATTTCAATTTCAATCTTAGAATCCCACGACCTTTTGGTTACAAGGCGAGCTCATAGACCATGATGGAATCCTGAAACCAATCAAATCCCTGCAAACTAATATCTGAATATCAATCTGATGCTCACTAGTGACTGGTCCGATTCAGGTAGGTAGTTACCTGGGTTCTAATGGTTAGTCATGACCAGTGGGGTACGGCAGGTCGCGTGTGAGGACAAATACTCGCCGATTGTATTCGCTACTGGTCGCGCCATGTTATGAATTGGCAGAAGTTGTAATTCATGGACTGGCCAATGGATCGGGTCCCAGTGGTTTAATGGTCAACGAGCTCGCCTTGTAAGCAGAAGGTCCTGGGTTCGAACCGTGGTGGTGGGTGGGTACTGATGAAGAGTCTCAAACTAGTCTGACGAAACAACAGGCTGTCAAGTACTCCCAGGTTTTCGTATGGTCCTCTAACCGATGTCAGTTCATGATGAAATCCTAAATTTATTTGCTCTGTTTCTGTGTGAGCATAGTGATACGTATATTAATACAAAGGCTAGTTACATCATCACTTGTTGTCTTAATATCGACCATCCTCTTCATTTTATATGAAACGGTTAATCAAGAGTTTGAACGAATTTTGCTGAAATGACAACATATCCCTAGTTTTTTTAAAATATTGAGTTAAAAAGTAGACAAAGAAAATTTGCCGTTAGTTAGTAAAATGTAACATCACTGTCTAGTAGATATTTAGACTTCAAATCACCTCACCCTGTATCATGAAACGGAGGTTTGGTCAATTATTTAAGCAACCGAGCGACAATTCTGTATATAATTGTAGAACACTATTTAAAGCAAATACGTATTTTCAGTAAATTCTCATCAGGCTTTACATTTACATAATGAAATATTAGTCGTAGGCATTTGAATTAATGTGGCTAATAAAATATAGGGTCAGAGTTCAGGGATGTGAATTAATGAATTACGATTGAGGTGGTCATAATAATAACAAATTTCTTCGGTCTTTTAAACTGCCACCAAATTTTTCAAATCTTATTCGTCTTAAAAATTCTCACATTGAAAATCCCTATGAGAAGTAATGTGGATTAATTGAACTCCATTTATTATCTTCAAATATATTGTTTGAAGTCTCCATAATTTGCCAAATGAAGTCCATTTATTTTGTAGCTCTTCCGTTAATAAGACGAAAGAGAATATTAGATTGAAATTGTTTGGATCTTGTAACTCTGATAAACCAGCTAGTTGATCACTGACGAGATCTCAGTTTCGCAAATGCCAGTTCATTCCTTCTCTGGCGTAGACGTGAGATCCGGTTATCGGCCAAAGGGAGGGTGTACTGCTCACCAGTCCTCCTTTGTGGCCATTGAGAGTGGAAGACATGAAAAGACTAGCTGTCTTTGATCATAGGTACCTGTGTTCTATCTCCCATGTGAAATGGTATAATAGGGTGCGCAACATTGAGGTTAAGCATCGGTCGAGTGCCTAGTCAATACATCAGTCGATCTGTGTCAGTGCGTTTCCTTACAATCATGAATCTGCATGACAACCAATCAGTCAGTAAATCAATCAATGAGTGATTCGGTTGATCGACCAGTCAGCCAGTGTCTGGATGTGTCGGAATGAATTGAAGTGTAAAGGTGGACGTGAGATCAG